GACAGTGTGTAGAATATAAATTTGGACGAGTTCACAATCACAACTCTGAGGCACTCCTCTTTCGGTTTCCAGTGCGGCCAAGTTGCTAATTTCCTGCATCAGCTTTTTCAAGCGCAACGAAACATATAACCACATGGAGCACATTCATTTGTCACTTTAATGCAGAGCAAGCCTCTATCAAACCGTTTGGCTACCAGATTTGTTTGTCCTTTCTCTTTCCTTCTCCTCCGTATGCATGACTCTACCTCTCCCGGCGCATTTTCTGCTTCGCATGCCTCCTAATCATCTGCCTCATCACATGTTCGCGATAGGCAAATTTTCCCTCTCCTCCAAGCGTCAATCTTGTGTCCCACCTGCTAATATGCTTTTCAGACCATACCGTTTCGTTACCCAAAATGACTCACCCAATCATGTGTCAACGGCCGAATGGGCAACTTTTTGTCGGGTTTGTTACGGACACCCAGGCGGTACCACACTTCTTCCCGGCCGTGCACCGGAGGCCGTGTCATGTGCTCCGGCTTCGGCCTCTGATTGGCCAAACTCGTTCAGACATTGACGATTCGCCGCCCACCAAGTCCTGGTTTCCTGCATTCCCAGATCGGCTGACAAGCATGCAAGTCGTCAGCTCGTGTACACTTCAAAGAGGTGTTGCTGGCTTGGCGCTGACACGAACGCGAAGTCTCGCTCATCTGCCTTGAAGACTTCTCCAGACCCAACAGAAGAACCACTTTTTCCTCCAAAAGAAACAGCGTTTTCTCTCCTCTCTCATTCTCTCTATCTCTCTCACTCTCTCTACCAAACGTCTCGACTGACAGAGCTGTACCAATATTTGCAGTCTGGCAGACTCCACAGGGCTCTGTCGAGTTCTGTCCAGCATGAGTTGGTGGAAGAGGATAGCGAAAGGAGCAAAGTCCGTTGTTGCGCCACTTGGCCCGAGGTGCCGCTTGTAACTGGGACCGAATCATTTAAGTCCCAAAATGAGATATTGAATGTACCGACACGTCTGTGAAGATGAAGGGCCAGCTTTAAAGGCTTGGCTCCTCAATCGAGGTTTTTCAGAGGGTGAGGAGAGAAAAATGGATAAGAAAGGAAATCCTTAAAAGCTGAATGTTGGTGTAGCTTTCATTTCGTCTGGAAAAGTGACTGGAATGACTGCGTTTACTGGCCTCGTCGGATGCGCGGGAAGCCCTCATTTATCGAAAAATCGTCAACCATAAAGTGGTCAGCCAAAGCATGAAATTCCGTATAAAGTGCCTAAAATTAGGCATAAAAAATACATATTATTATAGGTGCACTGTCTGTCTGTGTATGTCTGTGACGGTGGGAACTGTCAAGGATTTCTCTGAACAAGTGCCCAGCTACGAATCCCTTCGATTCGCCGTCTCAAACTGACTGAAACCGGCAACAATCTGTGACGGCCGGGCTCGAGTCCCGTTTCGGACGCAACCCCCTCCACTGCCCCATCCCGCTCATCCCCACCACTTCACCTCCCAAAACTGGAAGAATCCTGCTTAGTGGGCCTCCCTGTCTCATCTTCCCTCACTTTAGTCTCCGTGCTGTCTGTACACTCGTTAACCTCTTTCCTAGACCGTACATTGTTCGAGCCTCATTCCGATTCGTTCGTCTCGGCTTCTGGTCATCTTCGCCACCTCTTTCGGCCATCGCAATGTCCCACGAGTCACCGCAAATATTAGAGCCCATTCTGGGTCCCAGACTCGTGAACTTTTACTTGTTTGTCATTTCATCAGAGCCTGACCCTGTCCGTTGAACACTGTCAAACATCCGCTGTCGGCCAGCGTTTGCCTCGTCTTGCCATGAGACAAACGGCCTAGCAGCAAGACGAGCTCACCTGTCCGTCTGCCCACATCCAGTTCACCCCATAAACATGTTGCGAGCAGACGGCCTTGAACTGTTGTCTTGGTGACCCCGATTTCGAAAGTGGCTCCCTCAAGCTTGCCTACGGCCTGAGTGCCCTTTCTCGCGCCCAACTGGAGCACCGTCTCCCCCTTCTTTTGTCTTCGCCCCATCTCTCGCGCCCTCTCGATCGGACCGCCAGGTCAGAACTCGTCCAGGCCAGGCCCCGGACGGACTTTTACAGACGGGGCCTGAGTCCCAACCCAAATCGCCTCGGCAACCTCGCCGGTCGGGTCGACATGACGGTCAGTCGGCCTTTAAACTGTCAAGGCCTGTGCATTGGGAGAAATGGCAAATCGGCCAAAGTGTGCACTTTTGGGCAAGACATCCAAACGGTCGGACAGTTGAACGGTTGAATCCTGCCCGGGTGACAGTATTCACATATTTTTTATATGAATTATTAATTAGCCCACTAATCTCTCTCGTCCATAGCAAAACGAACTCATTCTTCAAATGGAGTTTTCCACCAATCATGTTGCAGTAACAGAAAGTAGTGGTGGCAGTGCCGTCAGCATCAGCTGTAGAGCAGCCTCTCAGCTGAGATGGAGCCAACAAGCCTCCTGACCATCGGTTTGCCCTGCAGGTGCGTGTTGCTAGGCCAACCAATTCGCGCCAAACCGCATTGGCTCACCTCTCAACCCTTTTAAGGTGATAATGAGTAGACATTGTATTTCACATAACCGTGCAACCTCGCCTTAGTCTCATCAGCACCCCAGCGGGACTCGAACCATGACACTGTAGCGTATAATCTCGACAAGTTGAACACTACGCCAAAGTGTCACGAGTACCAATTGGTCACAGGGCAGATGTGATAGGATTGTCGATGAAACAAA